TCAAGTGATAGCACTTTAACCAGTTAGCTCAGTTGCAGAATCAAACAAATATTCGAACCTGAGCGGTCATCTATCACTACAATAAGCTTAACAGCTATGCGCGTGTAAAATTAAAGCAAACTGTGTCGTGCATTCATGGTGCAGTTTCCCTCTCCAACGAAAAAAACTCAGAAGAAACAAACCGTAGCATCTTTCATTTCCTCCTCTTCGTCCCTTAAGCGTACACGTTCCTTGTCCTGTTCACGAGATTTGCCCGTACGTTCGCTTTGGCAGTCAGCCCCATGATAAACTGATACTTTGCACTGATAACGAACACCAAATTCAGTAAGTTTAGTTTCATGCCGCTCCGAAATGCGCAATGAAATCGCATCGACAGATCTTCCACCTTCAGCAAAGTTCGTAAGATCATCAAAGAAACTGATGCTATTGAATTTCAGTAAATTCATTCCAAGCATTATAAATTTTATATAACTGGCCAGTGCACCGACTGCTGATGCGAAGATGCGTTTTTTGCACAGTCCCCCGCAGGTTTCTGTTGCTAACGCCAGTGCTTTTTTTCCAGCAGATGCTTTTAGCCAGAAGAATTGAGATTAGCCGCCACAACTGTGAGAAATCATTCCCTTAAGATTTCAGTTACCACGCTTTTCTAGTCCCCGACTTAGCAACCTACCCACCAAAAACATTCACGGGTTTCGCAGGAATCACACAAACCAGAAGGCCAGGTCTGAACTCATCAAATCCTACGTGGACAAGGGAAATCCCTCTAAAATGCCGGCTTTCTAGCTTTTCAGGTTTCCAAATTAACAACTTACTCGCAAAAAACTTTCACGCGCCCGTACGTGGAAAGGGTACATGCACGTAGACTCAGTTTCCAGTGTTTCAACTTTTAGCTTTTGTAGATCTCGAAATGAAAAATTGGTAGAGACGGAAACACAGACACATACACATTATGCGTTTTTGCAGTGCAACGACGCCAAACTAACATAAAAATTAATAGAACTTGCCCGTTTTCCGTTCAAACGAAATTGAACGTTTCACCGATGACATTCTCAAAACTTTCGTTTTTTGAGCATATTTAGTTGGACTAAGCTTTAGAATGTCTGCGAAGTACTGTTGACCTGTTTTCGTACGCCCACGCTTCACGTGAACTGCAATTTTTTGTTAGTATAAAAGGCGTTTCAAGCATTCAGGTATGACGATGCAGCTCTGTTCGGTATGTGAAAGAATCCCACTAACACAGCACCCCACTCCGAGTGATCGCAATATTTTAGATTTAATAACTTACTCATTTCGACGCTTGATAATGGCACTCGTCTGACTCTCTTCGTTATGGGATCCAGTGCAAGAAAACGACCTTCTTCACGGGGTAACACCACCATCTGATAATGCAGTGAGCATTGCCGCGGTGAGCTAAAATGAACAGATGCATATCCCCCATACAAGTACGACCAAAACATTTCAGATCCAGCTCCTTAGTACACTGAATCTCATGCAGAGGCATGTAAAAATCCTGCGGATGCTGCTAACTCCGGAACGGGAAAGCTTGAAAGCTGAAATTTTAAGAGGACGTTCTCCGTCCAAGATTTCAAATTCAGCTACTAAGTCCGAATCTCACGTACGGTGACCCGTGAACGCTTTCATACGAAATTATTAACTTGAGAACTGAAAAGGTTAGAAAGCTGAAATTTTTGAGGAGATATTCCACGCCTACGTACGACCCAAAGGTTTCAAATTAAAATCTTAAATACAACTGAATCTCACGCATGGACATGTGAAAATTTTTGACGTGAAATTTATTTGCAGGAACTAATACGGATCACGACTCAGAAAAATGGCTAAAAGGAATTCAATTACTCACCGGTATAAATCTGAAGAAATACCGAGGAAGTATGATACAAAGTCCCAGTTCGAGTATATACCGCTTTTCGTTGGACGCAAATGATTTGGCATCTGCGACACGTCCGTTAAGGCCTAAACTTCATTCATCTTACATCGGCAAATCCTGGATGTGCGGACAGATCTCAGTTCGCTCACAACTTTGTTGAAGTAATACAGTTGTCCGTATTAGTTTTGGAGGCTATTTTTACATTGGCTTGACGCAGTAGAAAATAGCGTTTCTTTCAAATTGAAAGTGGATGTTGCGAATTCATCAGTGGAAAAATAAACTTCTTTTTCACAAGGATCAGTTGGTGACTTGTTTCAACGATAAGCGATCCTTATGAGTTAAAACCGCTACTACGTCATTTCTGAAAGAGCCCGCAGAACAAGAAACTAGCAACAACAGCGCAATAGTTGCTTTTGATAATTTGTTATCGCTTCAGATATTTCAAAGTGCTTTTGTCTCTCGAACAGAATGGAGAAAAAAGTTTTGACTGCGAACGATTTTAGACGCGGGATTGGACATGTCCTCGATCGCAGCTCGCTGCTAACTACTCATCATCTCTCCCGGCGAAACAAAGCTCGCACTGTTTAATGCAAAATTAATGACCATAGTCAGAAACTCTCTTCATCATTATGCGTTTTGTGCTGTGTAACAGCAGTACAAAACGCATATTGTCATGGGGTTGTGTGTGTGTGTCCCACATTTTGTCCCGTACTTTCAACTCGGGAACCACAAAAGCTAGGCGGCTGAAATTTTAATATAGTGCTCCCGGCCAACGTGCGACGTGGCAAATTTAAATTCAGCGTTCACGTACCCGCGAGTAACACGTGCGGCCCCGTGAAAGTTTTCTACGGGTAAACTAATATCTCGGGAACCACGCGGTCTAGGAAGCTGAAATTTTAGGGTAATGACCCCCTTCCCACGCTCAACCTTGCCCATTCAAATTCAGCGTTCTCGCGTTCTCGGGTACCACCTACGGCCTCGTGAAAATTCTGGCGGGTGAACTATTAACTCGGGAATCACGGAAAGATATTTACCCTTCAAGGTTTCGAATTCAGCTTTCATGCGTTGATGCGTGAAATTTTTAACTATTATCCAGTGTCTGAACTATTTTTGCATAGACTAAAGTACAAAGCAGTGAAAATCATTAATAGCCAATCGTTCGATGGGCTGAATTGCACAAAACGCATGATCGCACCGGCTAGTCTGGTGCGGGTTGCTTTCTCTTCGAAGGGAGGGGCAAACAGAAGTAGCTCAAGTGGCAGCACTGAGAATAACAGTTACCAGCTGGCAAGGCGATAGCATTTCTTAAATCGGCAAGTACTTATTTTTAAAAAAACGTGGTAAAAATTAATAGTGCTGGGCACCAGGGTAGCCGGTACGATTATGTGTTTTGTCCAATTCCACCCAGTGGACATTTGTTATTAATAATTTTCACTGTTTTACAGCTTAGCACGGGTGCAAAAATGGTCGATATGTTGGCCGATTCCGCAGTTGCGAAATCTCCCACTACATTTCACGTAGCTGTACGTGAAATGTGGGCGGACGTGAAAACTTAATTTGAAATCTTTGGATTGCACATGGACGGGAAATCCTTCTAAAATTCCAGCCTCCTGGTTTTCAGGCTTCTGAGTTACTGACTTTCGAGCCAAAACTACACGTGACTGTAGGTAAATTTGAGTCTGTGAGGTCAAGGCACAGGCAGAAAACATGCTCTGAAATCTTAGCCTCCTAGCTATTGTGGTTCCTGCGGTAAAAATTTTTCCCGCCAAGCCTTCACGTATGTGGGGCTAAATGTGAACTGCAGGACCGCATGTGGGTAGGGGAAGTATCCTTAAATTTCAGCTTTCTGGCTTCTCTGGTTCCCGAGCTGAAAGCTCGGATAAAACGCACTCGTAACATACACACATACAGAGCATCTCGACAATATGGAGTTTGTGCAAGTGATGCACAATAAAACATAATGAACTAACAGCACACAGAGTAGCTGTTTCAATGGCAAAATTTTAAGCCTCCGCTGCATGTATCAAAGAATCACAACTTGACGTTGCGCTAAGCCCACCAGCAATAATATCGAAAATGCAAAAATTGAGACCAGATTTATCTAAGATAGAAATGGTACTAACAGCAAGAGCGGAGTAGTCCTCAGCAATACTCCACTCATACCCATCATAGTCCAGCGCTTCCCGCTGTCGTGGAGGTGGCGTATATGAACGAGGAATGTCTTCCCGATCTTTATTATACAGTTCAAGCGCACTCGGGCGGATGCTGCAAATTTCGTTTTCAGAACGCAAAAGGGTAAGAAAAACAGTGAGCTGACAATCTCGTTAGCTAAAGAAATGAACGCTATTACCGTCAGCAGGTCCACCAATAGACGATACACAATGGTTTAAAACAACTGGAAATGATAAGAGCTGCGCAACTGACCAATCAGACTACGAATTAAAGCAAATCGAAGTATTCCGAGTACAGAATTTAGGAACAGAAAGAAGGCGAATGATAACGAAGGCAGCTCCTTAGGACAATTCGCTAGCACGAAACACTAGAATAACCTGCCCAGTCAAACATTTCACAGCAATGAAATAAATTCTGAGTGTGTGCCCACGCTTTGTTTTTTATTTTTTACATAAGCGCTACAGATAATCAACAATTAATGGCCTTACTGCGTTGCTATCACAAACAAAAATTCTGCATGCACGCACTGAATACCAACTCGTTCAAAAGATGCTCACTACATAAAACTAATCAAAAAAACCCACCTTGTCGAATAAAAACGACTTACTTCTGAAAGGCCCAAATTACAAAAAAAAAAAAATTATTGTATTAACCTCGGACTGTGTGGTGTTCGTTGCCCGGAAAATGCTTTTTGTGCCGACTTTCGCACACTGTCAATTGCATCTAAAATAAACGTTATTTTTTAAGTGGTAAGGTGGAAAAAAATATGATCTGCTCATAAAACATTCTCAAAATATGTGTATTGTTGCAGAGTAAGAGGGCCTACTACGCAGTGTGACGGTTTTTACTTTCTTTTAGCCTGTCGAAAAAAAAAGCCCCCTAAGCTCGTCTCGAGTGACTGTCTTCCCTAATCGGCATTTTTTTTTTTTTTTGCACTTGGTGAGGGAAGTGAAATTATGCTGCTGACCAGCAACTGTGTATAGCATAAATGCGAAGTATGGATGCAATTTAGGGCCGGATGCGCCGGACTGGAACCTTGGCGAAACAGTACAGGAAGAATATATATACGGAGGCAAAAATTTTTTGAGCGAACGAGATCGCCAGCGATAAACTGACCGTCAAGCGATTACAGCACTGGTTAAAGCAACTGAAGAAGCCGTCAACTGCGTGGCTGGAGAATTAAGCTGTGAATTGCACTTCAACTGACATCATAGTAAAAGGATTCTGCAATCTTTTTTGCATTCTCATA